TCATACTGTGGGGTGAAGGGCGAGATGGAGTTCGCCACGTGTAATGTACTCATCAACTGCTTCGAACAAAACGACAACATCTCTGAGTGGAACGAGTGCATGGAAAATCAGGTACAGCCAGACTCAGACTTTATTCGTTTCGACGCGCAGATTAAGTGCTTTCCGTGAACGGTGTGCGGCCGCGAGTTATTCAATTAGCATTCTGCTCAGAGCACCAGGCAAACAAACGAAGAGCACGACGCGCTGGCGCTAGCCCCCGCCGCCTGTGTTGGTTCTTTGCGTTGAAGGAGGTGACATATTGGAATCAAATCATCACAGCAACGACAGCAGACACACTATCTTACGGGACATGAGTTCTGAAATTTAGTACCACCCTGAGAGAGGGCGCCCTCCCAAGGGATATCCGCTTGAAATCCCCTTCGAACTCTCTCTTCTTGCCGCTGTCGTGCATGATTCCAGCCTTGTCTAACCTTGCCTCCCATTTGCCGTCCGTTTCCGGCCGTCGACGAAACACCGCTTTTCTAGGTCCACGCGGCAAACCACGGAATGATGGGAGGAGCGTTCAACTGCAACGTGAGTTGATCTACTTGGGGTGGTCGTATGTGGGAGATGGGCGAAGGGATCGCATGTTTGACCTGCTCGACGTTAGTACTTGTGGAAGCCACAGGCGCGTTGTGACAACTTACGGAGATGGGGCTTGGCATGCTGACCTGGTGCACTTGAGAGCAAACAGGTTTTTCGAATGGTTGGCTCGCGAAACATGGACCTTTGTCCGTCAAAGTCACTGTCGTGTCGTTGGGGGATCGGTAAGTACTCCACACCCCAACATCACAGCCCCCAGTGTTCGATTGCGACTCTTCCGTCTGCGCCTCGCGAGGGGGATCTCACTCCAGTCAGCACTACAGTATTCTTGTCAGTCATGTACCTTCAAGAAATATTGGTTGGAAATCGGAACGGAAGGAAAAAAACACCTACCTCGCGTCCAAGTCTTTCGCGTCGCCCCCCCAAGGGCCGAACAAAGGGTATGACTGCCATTCCACGAAGGAAGGACGAAACGGCTACGGAGGGAGGTGTGCCCTGGCCCACTGTGGCTGAAACGCCAGTGTTGACTTGCTTGCTACTTTCCCATTTTTTCGATGGTTGTCCAATACTCACGTGTCGTTCAATGCGCACACTGCTATCCTCAAGCACAGGTGGACATGGTGCAGTTCCAGGAGGATCACCCTGTGTTCAAAGCAGGGCTGCTGTCCTTCGCGCTGGAGTACATCCTCGTCGGCACGTGGCCGAGCAACTCCTTCATGAAGAGCCACAACACGTGCGACATGTCCTGCACCGTGGGGCAGACACAGGACTGCGGGTGCACTTGCAACACCGATTTCTACGACTGGTCTGACGACGAGGTGAATTCCACGCTCTGGTTGTGTGCGGGCGCTTCGAAGACGTACAATCGTTGTCGTTCCTGAAAACAGAGTTGATGCCGAAATGGGTCACTCGGTGTGCCTACTCGTCGAAACAGGGCCAAGCCAATGACACCACAAAATGCCCACATGCCTGGCAATGGCGGGCAGCAGCGTCCGGTGTTGAAATTTTGTCCGGAATCCATGCGCGAAGGTTTCGACCGACTTATAGGATCTCTCCGCGTGGCCGGCATGCGATAGTGGCTGAATAGTTGGAGTCAAAAACTCTTGAAGAAAGAGATCGACAGCCTACTGCTGTAGCGTTGTACACGCAGTGCGTGAATGAGGCTGCCGTACCGTGGTAGTCCCTTGGTGTGCTTATCGATTGCGCCGCCCTTCCTTTGCATTGCACGGCGCTTGTTGTAGCACAAAGAGCAACCTCGACGCCACAAGAATATAGCAAGGTCGTCATCGTAACCTCAGATCAGGAATGGATACGGAATTTTCAAAGCGGCCCAAGAAGCACCGGCGGCAAGGGTACAATTCTTCGTTGGCCCATGAAGCTCACAACGACGTTTTTTGCTGGTGGGGTGTGTCGCGCCAGGTATACGACATGATGGAGTCACAAATGGGGACGATGAACAACAGAGCTCACGGCGACAAGTACGTCTACAGGGACCTCGGCGCCACCTATCAGTACGGCTTCCAGCAGGTGAGCACACACCAGACCCACTGCTGTGTGTTACCCTATGCCCCTCGCATTGGCGTTCCACGACTTGCTATGACGAAACCCACTTTGCCCCGACTGATACCCACCTTCTGCACGCCCTCAACAGAACGGAGTTCGGCTGGAACACGACGACAACATGCTGCTCATGCGCACCCTCTTGACGCTCGCGTGTGAACCGGGCGCTTTGGGGGCAATGAGCGTCGGACCCAGCATCCTCGACCCAGGTAACCATGTGCCGCTTGCCCTGTTCCTTTGCCGGAATGTTCACCTTTTTCTCATTCAGTCTCACCTTGCCATCACGCGTAGTCTCGGGCATTTTCTCTCTCCCGCGCTTGTCTATTTGATGCTTCAGCATCCGGGGAATCGAGACCCGTTGTTGTTGTTTTTTCCCGCCGAAGTCCTCCTTCGTGCTTTCTGCGTCCCTCTCCCCCGCCTTGTGTTTCTTGCGTTCGTTTCCGAGGACGCGTGTTGCTCTCCCCGCTCTCTCAGTGCCGATTCCGCCAGTGTACCCCCCTTCCCTACGCTTCTGAAATGCTGATGTGCCACTTTTTATTTGTATTCGCCGGTGTTCTTGGCGGCGCAATCCATTGCCATCACGCTCGATCGGACAACACCACGCAAAATTGCGACATTGCTAGACAATTCGGTGACTGACGGAAACCTAGACGCGTTTTCATCACCAACACTCTGCATTCGCCGTCTCCACAAGAATGGTCCTAAAGCACCGTCTTCCGCCTCCTTCCGGTCCCGCTTTTCGCCTGCCCGTATCCTCCAGTGTTTTGGGCACTCCACCCGATCTTCGAAAAAGCTACACAGCTCTTGCAGCTTTCCCCGACCTATAAGGATACTTACGACTTCACGTGGGTCGGGATTGACTGCGGCGACGGCGTGTCCGGCGGGCAGGTGGACGAGACCATGCCGTTTACAGGTACGGCTTAATTGCGATTCCATGCCTTAACAAAAGCTTGTGACGAACGATACCCATGCTTTGGCGAGTTATTCCCTCCATCTCTTTGGGTTGAACGTTTTGGCATTGTCCGCATTGACATCATCCAGACATCCGGGGTCGAGCGCTCGATGCGTGCCCCGGCGCAGCGTCGCCTGGTGTTTTCCCGCTCGTCTTCCACCCACGCCTCACGTTGAATTGTATTGGTGGTACCGACGGCTGACCAGTGAAAGTACGTCAGTCTCAGTATAATACGAAATGCTTCTTCAGGCCGTGATCTGGGGCCCCGTGAGGGGGCACCATGGGGGAGGCTACGCTACGTCTGTATGTTCGTATACGTTATTTTTCCCTCCATACCTGTCTGATGATTCCTCAGAGCGGGACTTCGGCTTCGGCGACGGCGACGAGCCCCTGACGAACCAGGAGATCATCGATTTCCTGTTCCCGACGAACCCCAGGCTGCCCTACGTGTATGACAAGTTCGACTCCTGGGGAGTCTGCACAGATTGGGACTTTGAAGTGGCTGCGACTTAACAATGCCGTGGGTGTGTGCCATCCAGCTTGGCGAACCGTGTGGAACGCCGGGCTGTGCTTGATAATATGCTCGAGCTTCTCGTTGGTCGCCAATGAAGGACACGCCGCAGGTTGACTTGCGAACACCCGCGCTGTACGGGTCCATGCCAGCGATGTATGTGGTGCCTTTCTTGTAGTGATGTTGACGTTGCGGGGTCCGTTTTTCCATTTTCCTTCGGTATCTACCCTCGCGACACACGACACTCGAGCGCTGTCTGGTGTCTTCGGCGTAAGTTCAATTCAGTTAATGTTGGGGTGAACCACCGCTGCACAGACAGATGGTTTACCGCCGTATCCACGATGATACGCATACATCCGTCGATTCTTTTGAGAATGTTTTCTGACGAGGACGCGGGCAATGCCTTATATCACCACTTTTCATTGGCGGCAGATTCGGCGCGAGGTCCACTGCAAAAGGTGGCCCGACATAGTTTCATGTCGGGGCAAGAGGAGAATATGCTATTCAGGGCAGTGCCACTACTGTATGCAAAATCGGGTTCATGAACATGTTGAGTTTGTGACCAGAGATTTGATGCCACTATAAATATAGGCATTTCCACTGTTCAAGTTGCCACTATATCGGGCCGCTTGCTGTACCGGTGCCTCCTCGCAAGGGCAGAAGGAAATCAACTTGGGTTCCCTGGATCGTGGCAAGATCGTTCCTCGGTGATTGTGTAGGGCGCATCGTGGCTTTTGTGAGGTTTGACGAGGAAACGATTTTCAGGTGTGAGAAACGGCGCGTGACATGGTTTTCGCGGTGACGTACTCATTGTGGTGCGTGTTTGTATTTGTACTTAATAACAGGCTAGACTTCAGTCTAAACCCCCATTCGATTTGCCAGGATGTTCTCATCGTCACCTATTGTGCAGACACATGTTCTCAGTCGCTGCGGCGTTGAGAACAGGTCATGTCTATTCGGGAGGCCAGGATGCCACGATCCCTAGCCGTCTGGATTTAGAGATGTTCTGCACGATGTCCGAGGATGTTATATCTACAGTTCATACCATCGCAACATTTCAAGGATCTATGTGCTATCCAGAGGGAGTTGCTTTCGTTGCGTTCGGAAGCAGCGTGTGAGAATGTGAACCGTCCCTATGCTGTAACCTTCACGACCCTTTGACGATAGCTCTGTTTGGTGTTTCATCTCTCCTTGCCTCCGGTCGTTCCGGTCCGGTTTCTCTTTCGAGATTGGTGGTCAGAGAGCTGTCGTGCAATGCTCCTACATACGAGAGCACGAGATTCCTAACTCTTCGAAACCACGATTGTCCTTCCCTGTTCTACTTGTTGTTGTTGTTGTTGTTGCTGTTGTTGTTGTTGTTGTTGTTGTTGTTGTTGTTGTTGTTGTCTTCACATTCAAACCCGTTCCGGTCTCCACTCAGTACCTTCTAATGTCCGTACTGGTCCAACTGACGGAGGACGCCTTTCGTGGTCACAAGCCAACTGCCCCCCGTAGGGTTGCGAGGAGAAAATTCACCTTTCCGACGTGCATAGTTGAGACTTACGGGGACACTATTGCCCGTGCTGTTGCTGTTTCTTTTCGCAGCGCTTCACTTTTCTTTAGTACTCTTGTTAAAACATCTGCTTCTTGAAGCTGCGTAATGTTCACTTCATTCCAATCTCGTCTGCGCCACAGCCGCTACAAAAGGGGAAACGTCTTTAAAGGAAAATTGCTATTGTTGCAGCGTCGACTGATCCGGGCGAGAGCTACGCCGCCAAAATTGTTTTCGTGTTTCCTTCGTTCTTGTGTTTTCAACGCTCATCTGTGCAAGTATGACATACGGAGCAACTTTGGCCAAAGTGCGGGAGGGAGTCTGGTAATGGGTGGCAGGTGAGCCGAAGAACACTATTCAAATACAAGCAAGTTCTCGGAACTTGACTCCAAAGTGGCACCACTGGAGGAGGTGTCAACACAATTCTACTGCGGAGAGCATCATCTCTGCATGTACGTATATCTTCATTATTGGGGAAAGACACGTACTACCGACGCTCGTGTCTTTCGTGTGCAGTACATTCCATCGCTGTCACGAGCGACAGACATTGTCAACATTCATGCAAACCACCTTTGCCGTCTGCCCAGTGACAGCATGTCTGATCCCGCGACCTTCCCTGTGGTTTCTCGTGATTAAGGTTCGTTGAAATAGGCAGATACTGCGGTCCCATTGAATGAGGACCAAAACAACAAAAAATCCTACTCAAATCAGGAATATCGTAAATTCAACGTGCAGATATAGTTGTGGCAAGCAGCAAGGAACACTGGGCGACACATCGCTGAAGTCATGGTTCCGATGCGCCCGAAGATGTCGTGATCGGGTTACGAATTAGACTGTAGCAAAGAAAAAAGAACGCCCCAGAAACCCCAAGACACTACCATGAGTGGTAAAGCGGGAGTGTGTAGAATACGAAGCGTTCTCGGGGATCATCACCATGTACCCCCCTCCTAGTTCGTGTCTCCCAGAGCGTTGGAGCTAGGGCGGAGCGTTGCAGGTTATTTTCGGTGCCAACTCCCCCCCACTCGGTTTGCCTGAGTTTGCGCGCACCGCGCTGCACGCTGAGCGTAACATCGTTGCCTCTTGGGTGGTAGCGCACTATTATGACGAAGACACACAGCCGTTGGAGTGCCGGTGGTGATGGACCTACACCAAGAATAGGGGGTCCGGAAGTTCAGAAATATCTACGACATCCCTCAACGTTCGCCACCCTGAGCTAGTTGTTAGGATGTGATGTTGTATCTCTATTGCGGTGTATACTTTTTTACTCGGGGGGGGTTAGCTGATCGAACGACAGCGACACACGCACCCGTGTTCGCGATTGACTCTACTGTAGTGTTTTCATCGACATTTGTGTTTCAGAGGCAAGTGCAAGTGGCGAAGTAGCAGCAAAAATTCGGGAAATGGAGAATCGAACAAGATCTTGGAGCCCATAAGCCAAGAAACAGTATGCCAAGAATCAATCGAGGGTAACATTAACAACCAGTGTTGCAAGCTGAACCAGGACACGGCCGCCGTGTATATCTTTTCAGAAAAACCGAGACAGTTTCTCGTGGGATATTGTGCTGACACGTAGAAGGGCCCCGACTTTGCTCTCTCGTTGTGTCCTTCCCTTTCCTGAAACTCCCTAGTGACAGAAAGGTATGCGGGCTTGTACTTCGTACCACCTCACGAGTACGGTCTAGCCTGGACATGACTGATATCGCCGAATCCCGGGTCTGAACCACATCAATGCCAGTTCCAGTCGCCTTAGGCTGGGCAACCGCCTTGCTCATATGGCCTTATAACTGGGCTCCACTTTGGTGGAGTCGCTGTTTTTCTTTTCTATTCTTTTTGGGGGTAGGAGTAAGAGGGACAGAAATGGGAGGGAGAACAGCTATACAGCTCCTTCCAGCGACGCACCGGCCGAAGCCCTAGCCGCTAAGAGTTACCAGCGTGGGGTGCGAGGGTGGCGCTCTGATCTTTGCCCCCATGAGCGGGTGTTTGCAAGGCCGATCTCTTTACATGAGCACGTTTGACGAGGACATGAAATGTTGTGTGACGTCGATGCCAATGGCCTGGCCTCTCCGCCTGCCGGGGGGCGGTAAAAGTGTATTCCCGCCCCACAAACGGCGGCACCCAAGGCACTGACCTCCAGGAAACTCAATGTCCCATTGGGAACTACAGAAAGCCCCGCCATGCACCTCTTGTCCCTCAACAGCTTCATCCACCAACACTGTTACCCAATACTTGTACTATTAATACCTGGTGTATAGTTTCCTTTGCGTGGATATTTTCTGCTCTTACAATCCCTGTTGATACCTAGCGGAATATCTAGTTGTACAAAATTGTTGCACAGTTTCACTCCACGCGGCATAAGGCCCTCGCGGGTTCAAGGCGCCCCCTAAGCAGCGCATGCATGCTCGCTCCAACACCAGCCGGTTAGGCAGCTCCACAATTTCTCTCCCCTCAATTTCGTCATCTCCTGCACCGTCCGCCTTCCCAGGAGATGAAGTTGACGTCGTATCACCTTCGGAACCTGATGCACCCTCCGAGTCGCTGCCTGTCTTAGGTCTCATGCCCCGGTTGCCTTGCTTTGCCACCGAGGCGTCCTCCGTTGATTCGTCACGGGAACGCTTCCAGTTGTCGCGACCATCCTGCGCCAGTATCCCAGACTCCCTTCTGTCCAAGGCCTTGCCGTCGACACAACCGACTGGTGCAGAATCAGCACCACCGTTAGGTTCCACGCATGCATCCACCGTCGCCTTGATAGCCATTTGACTGCTGCCACCGTTGCACTGCCCCTTGCCATCGGCCGAGTCTTGAGCACCGCTAGTCTTCGTCAACGCAGACGCACCAATGGTGTCGCGTCGGCTCAGGTGAGTCTTCGACGGGGGACGGGGGCATGGTGGAGGTCTTGGCTTGTTCGCCGGTGGGGCTTTGCCGAGCGAGGGGTAGGGCGATCCGTCAAAGGTGGCCTTGGTGCTTTGCCATAGGAGGGGGCGG